AAAATGTACTTAAGTACAGTAACGAAGTAAAGCTACTCCGTTACTGTCCACCACTGCATAAATGACCATATTAAAGACTGTCATCCTCAAAGATCCTCAAAGGGATAGTTCACCCAAAAATGAAAATTTGATGTTTATCTGCTTACCCCCAGGGCATCCAAGATGTAGGTGACTTTGTTTCTTCAGTAGAACACAAACAAAGATTTTTAACACAAACTGTTGCAGTCTGTCAGTCATATAATGGAGGTGAATGGGAATCACGGCTTTGAGAGTCAAAAAAAACATACACAAACTAAACCAAATTAAACCCTGCGGCTCGTGACGATACATTGATGTGTAAAGACACGAAACGATCGGTTTGTGCAAGAAACTGAACAGTATTTATATCGTTTTTTACCTCTGATTCACGCAATGTCCGAACTGTTCGGACTGTCCTTAAGCGCTTCCTGAGCGCGCTCTCAACAGCAGGCGTGTGACGCGTCTTCTTCTTCTTCTTCCATTTGGTGGCGGTAATGCACTTATAAGTCTGCGATCCGCCGTAAAGCAAGAAGAAGACGCGTCACGCGCCTGCTGTTGAGAACGCGCTTAGGACAGTTCGTAAAGGGGTAAGCAGATAAACATCAAATTTTCATTTTTGGGTGAACTATCCCTTTAAGTGTATGGAATACCATTGAAACTTTGAACGGCCATATCTCCGTAACGGCGTGGCGGATCCGCACCAAATTCGGGGGATCAGCTTCAGCTCGAGGAACCCTCTCGAACGCCGAATCAAGTGTACGTCTCAAGGCCCCCTTTCGAATTAAACCACCGCCTTTCGATAGTCCGGGAGTTATGGGCGGTTAAATTCGCCAACCGATCTGGCGATCCCGGGGGGCTACCGATGCGCGGAGGGTGACGTTCGAGAGGGCTCCTCGAGCTGAAGGGATTTGGTGGAGATCCGCCGCCGCATTCGCGGCCAACACTTTCACTTCAGTAAGGAGGTCTCTTGTTCAGGCAGCAGCATTCAAGCGTCGTCTTATTCGACCGTAAGTGCCCTGCGAAGTGGACTTCACATGATATTCCGCCATGATTCCAGTTCCAAGGGAAACGTACACGTTACATTCAAAGGGCATTAAAGTGCGCGAGACATTAAAGGCAGAGTAAGGGTGTCCAAACTTTTGACTGGTACTGTACTATATTATACACAAAGAATATCGGCCGATATATCTCCCTTTTTTACTCCCTTATATCGGTATCAGCCACCCAAAAAAAACATATCGGTTGGGCTCTAATAATAATAATAGACACAATATGCTGCCTTTTCTCCAGGTAATCAGCCTCAAGGGTTATGTTAGAGATGGCCTTAAAAGGCATAACATTTTGGGGGTTAATTTTTGTAACAGTCAAATCCATCCAGTGCTGCAGTTATGTTCTATACTTTAGACTTAATTTCACTGGTTACTGGCATAAATGATGCAATATCAGCATTTTCTATCGTATTCTGCAAACAAAATTTAGGCTGGTTAAATTATGGCCCAGTGTTTTGTTCTTCTGAAAATACCAAAGAAATTAAACTTGTTTGTGGAAACGTTCTCTTTATCCAGATGTAATACGTACTGAAAATTTCAGAGGCATCTCAGAAAACAAAGCGGAATAAACAATAATAAACTTTGACACATGCCATGACATTTAGTGGTTCCTGAAAAACCCTTTTATTAAGACATTATTAAAAAGTCAGCTTGCGCAGTTTGGCAAATACTGACGTAATGTAAGAGCGGTTACTGTTTTTTGACAGTGTGTCTCTGAGCTAAGACTATGATTAGAAGGACCTTGAAAGATTGAAAGATACCCCGAATAACCACTAAATACCCCTTGTCATCTTAACTGTAGGCTGTTTACATTTGTATGCAGTAATACAGTATTTAGTTGAAGTATGTATATCGGGTTATGTTTTCCATTTTTGTCACCTCATCCACGCATTTAGAGCAGTGGTTCTCAACCAGGTGGCCGGGACCCACTATTTTCTTTCTTGCTTGCTTTTTTTTTTCTTTTTTCTTATAAACAACTGAATTTAAGAATCAAGGTTCCCACAGTCTTGGAAAACCTGGAAAAAACTTTTTTTAAACCTGGAAAATACATGGAAATGTATGGAAGCCCGTTTCCGCCACTGAATAAAAATTAAAAGAGGTAATTGCGACTTTTTATCTCACAATTCTGACTTTTTTTCTCAGAATTTTTTTGCGAGTTAGCAATTGCGAGTTAAAAAGTCATAATTGAGAGATATAAATTTGCAATTCTGAGAAATAAAGTCAGAACTGCGAGATATAAACTCACAATTC